AAAATAAATAATAAAGAAAATTTTTTCTGTGTGAATATAATCTTTAATTTTTACCAAGTACTTCACAGAAAGTTATGATACCATAGATGAAAATCAAATACAAGGAGAGTTTTTAGATCTATTTTTTCCATGTATAAGTTTGACTTTTTAATAATATCACATGTCGAAATGATGTTGATGATAAGAAAGAATATTGATTAATATATCCTGCTGTTATACTAGGTATTTGTCTATTTCTTCGTCACAGATGAAGAATCTTTCTTTATTATTTATTTTATGTTTATTTATGAAAATAAACAATTCATGTATCTTTATTTTATAAAGTAAAGATAAAGTAACACCTCTACTTCAGGTAATTAAAATGCCTCACGTCCATGTCATTTCGTTTTTTGTTGTTTGTAACTACTTTTAATATTCAATTTTAATTTTATTTCTAATATAATAATGTTGAAAACCAAATATACTTACATGATAAGTGGTACTGGAGTGTGCAAGTTTTGTTTTGTATGCTTGCAATCAGTTTTGCTTCGTATTTATCGTTGACGAAATTACTTGGTTTTTTCCCCAGCGATGTATGTTTATGTAAATCAATGAAGCACGACATTTTCATCAGGTAGGTAGTTATTTTTCATGATTGTATTCTTCACCATATGTATTTCGTTCTTTCAATGTTTTTTCTCTTTTTTTGCCTTTCTTCACGTTTCATGTTGTTACGATGAGAAAATATACACTGATATTTGTGTATTCGAATGCATTACACTTGTATTTCGAAATATATTTCCCATGAGTAAACAAAACAATAGTTAATGAATGATTTTGTTTTAATTTTAATCGATGAAAATATATGTAAAAATGAATAATAGAGTCATCGACATCGTTTTAAAAATATTTGAGACATTTCGTGAGCTCCGTTCACATCATCAGCCAAAGAACAATTTATAAAACCAGTCGGAAAATATCAATAGCAAAAAAAATTAACACCAAGTCATTGAACCGAAAGAATAACTCATTATATTCGATTTCGTTATAAATATTTAGTAACTGTTTGTATAAGTTGTTTTTTTGAACTGATGATCTGAACGGAGTTTACGAACGATCTCCAACATGATTACAATGATGTCTATGATTCTATCATTCATTACATTACAGAGTGTGAAAGTGTAGACAACAGTCTTTTGTTTATGTTACATCGGATATCTGTCGAACCCAGCAGTTTTTTACAATGTCTCTTACTATCTAAGTGGAAACAATTTATACCTCATCGTTATGCTCATTTGGTGATAAGACCAAAGCTCTTTTAAATGTTTTTGCTTTGTTGACGTCTTTTGGTTCGTGTTAATATTGAAAAATAGATGTTTTACGTTACGCATGCAGCTTGACTTCCTTAAGTTGGATAGATCGTCTTGAATTATATGATAGTCTGAAGTTATAGATCTTTAATCTATATATGTATCTTAAAGTCTTTTTGAAATGTCGATTTCTAGATCGTAGATATGTCGCTATATTCTATCACCTTTAATGAAACATACGACAAAGATATGAGAACAATAAAGAATAATCTACGAAATGAACAAAAAATAAAATAAATAAATATTATTCACTTTTATTCAACAGAACGAATACTCTTGTTTCTATTGATATATATATCTTATGTGAATCCGGTGACAAATAGAAGTAACTCGTGCACGTCTAAAATTAGTTTATTTATTTTCACTTTCACATATATATAAACATTTCTAATGTGAAAAGAGGATTGATGACATGGACATTTTGAGTATTCTATTACCCTCACTCTAACTAAAGTGATGGTTTCTTATATTTACTTTTTTTTTTATATCGATGAACTATGAAGTTGAACTTGTCTCGAGCGATGTATAGACGAAAGAGTTCATCTTTTCTTTTCTGTAGTAAAAATAAAAAAATAACATCATCATTCAAGTATACGCTGGATGTCTTTACGAATATGAAAGGTTATCGAACGAAAAAAGTTATTGATGACTGCATGATTATATTGGATTTTTTCCTGCAATTGCAGATATCACAAGCAAGAGAACTTCTATGACAGTTGCCTTTTTTTCTTTCATATTTATATATATGTTGTGGTCAAAATTCAAATTCAGTCAAATTTTAAATTTGCCTAGACAAAATTCAAATTTGAATTTTGTCTAGGCAAAATTCAAATTTGAATTTTGACTAACATTATATTGGTCAAAATTCAAATTTGAATTTTGCCTAGACAAAACTAAAATGCTGTTATAGTTAATATAGAAAAATAAAATTTTTGTACTTCGACGGTGTGGGTGTGGGTGTACGTGTGGATGGATGTGGGTGTGGGTGTGAGTGTGGATGTGGGGTGTGGGGTGTGGGCGTGGGGTGTGGGTGTGGGTGTGAGTGTGGTTCAGCTGAAGACTTACATGGACACCCACACCCACACCCACATCTACATCCACACCCACACCCACACCCACACCCAGACCTACGTCCACACCCACCCACACCCCATACTATGGGTTATTTAATTTCAATCTGAATTTAAACAGAAAAAAGAGCACTTGATTTCAAATTGAATTAAGGGACTAAGGGAATTAAGGGGACTAAGGGGACTAAAGGGACTAAGTGGACTATTCAATGGGGAAGCGTGTTTTCCCACCTAACACACCTTTTATTTCAGCGTCGCGGCGTGGGAGCGCGAAGCACCCCCCGAAGAGCCGCGACCCATGCACGTCTCTGTGTACACCATTATTCCTACCCTTAGTCCGCTTAGTTAGTCCCCTTAGTCCCTTTAGTCCCTTAGTCCCCTTAGTCCCTCTGTCTTGGTAAAAATGGGGTGTTGTTTTTTATTCAAAATTCAATTTGAAATAAAAAACCCATAGACTCACCCACACCCACACCAAGTGTCATTCAAAGAGGGGTGGCTGCTCAAATATGGACAGGGCTGTCGCGAAGGGTTAAAGATTGGGGGGGGGGGTCGAAAAATTTTTCGAGTATTTGTCAAAAAATTCTATAAATTATCGGCATTTTGAAAAAAATTTTGGAAATTTTTCAAAAATTTTTTAAGATTTTTGAAAATTTTTTGTGAGTTTTTGAAAGTTTTTCGAAGATTTTTGAAGAATTTTTGAAAATTTTTCGAAAATTCTTCTGAAATTTTTGAGAATTTAATAAGAATTTTTTAAAACCATCAAGGAAAAAAAACAAAATTTCCGAAGGTTGGGGGGTGTGACTCCCCCGTCCCCCCGGTCGCGACAGCCCTGAATATGGATTAAATTATTCTAGAACTCACATAATATTTGTTGGAAACTATTGTTAAATAAAAATTTCTTGATATTACAATTGTATGTCTTTCTTCGTCTTCTTTTACTGACTATAACAGCATTTTAATTTTGTCTAGGCAAAATTCAAATTTGAATTTTGACCAATATAATGTTAGTCAAAATTCAAATTTGAATTTTGACTGAATTTGAATTTTGACCACAACATATACATATATTTCAGTGAGTAAAATCAATATGTAGGTAGAATATGTACAGAGATGAATACTGAAAAAAGGCAAGGTTAGTTTTTTTTCTTTCTTTTTGCTTGATTGCATCTCATCAAGATCATTTTCTCATTATCTGTCTTCCTGTTTTATAACGAATCGATTAATGACGGTAGAGAACAAATTGTCAAGAGATGGAAAAAAGATATTCTTGATACTTCTAGGCTTAAAAAAGAGAAAGTTCGCAACTCGATTGCTTGGTTGTTAGTTGATGATACAATGATGATGATGCAGCCTATCTGGTTACATCTCTAAATAAACACAATCGATAGGTTTCATATTTCAATCAGTTTATGCTACTAGCCGAAAACGAAAACGTCTGTAGAGTTGAACCTAAAACGAAGTTCATACTGAGCAGTCTCTACTAAATGGTCAAGATGAACTGAAAAAAAAATTTGACGATTATCCAGAAATCAGCAACAAAAGTCATATGATAGACAATCCATCTATTTTGATTGATTTCTGAAGGAATAATGCGTCAACGTGGTATCGTCAACGAAAATTTCTATCAAGTCGAAGAACAGTGGTCAATATGGAATATCGATGTATGAAATGTATTATCATGTCTAAGCAAGGAACTCTAAATGCGAGATAATATAAGACACCATTAGATATATGTAGAACGTCATCTATTAACATATGCGAAACTACCACAAACATTCATTCTTGGATGAAGAATAATCGGTCTTCTATTGAGAAAATCTTCATATATTATTCGAACTTTAAAGTATTGCAAATTGTCCTAGAGAATAATGTCATTCAGATAGTTAAGTATACCGGGTATCGGCGTGGATGTTTGCAAAAAGAAGACTCACATCTACACGCACACCCCATCCACCCACACCTTTCGATTGAATCATGCATCGTAATGGAAATTTCAATTTAGAACAGGTGTGCAGCACTTTGCAAAATGAATAGTTGGGTGTGGGTGTGGGGATTTAAAAGAAGACAACACCCACACCCTGTCAAGTTCTCTATAAGACCAAATCATTTTTCTAGTTCAAGGTTATCATGCAAAATCAAGATCTAGTTCTTGGTCTATAATAGCCAATTAAGATATTTATTGCCTTTACGTGTCTTTTTGTAGTGGAGAAAAACTTGACTTTTCATCGCTATGTCATTATCATTTTATGGATGGTTTATGACAACCAGTTTCAATGAAGAAATGGTTACCGATCACAAAATAGGTCACTATATATCGACCTTTGTCAGAAATTGGTCATAAGATATGGCTAAAAAATGCACTATTTGCGAGCTCTTGAATATGTAAACATGGTGTTCAAATGTGACTTACATTGAAAACTACTGTCCATTTTTTAGATGGATTTCTGTAGAAAGTAGGTTACATCCTTACCATTAGTTCTAAGAATCATTTGAGATAAAATACAACAAATTCAATCAAGATGAAAATTTATTTTAGAAAGATTTTTTGCAAATTTAACATAAAAAAAACAATAGTATCAGTTTATTGTATTTCACGATTGCTTGTTAAAAAATCATCCACTTTGTGATCTTTTAATTGTGGTCTAGCTTCATACGTTGTAATGACTACTTCAGATTTTACTTCCTATACATGAAAAAAATCATACAGAATCATATTGAAATATAACATTCACTTACACCAAGATATTCACCACGAAGACCAATATAATAAATACGAGTTGTTTCATCATCGAAATTCGAAGGAAAATATAAAGATAAATGTGTTACACGTGAAAAATGTGATGGACTAAAATAGATATTTGATTAAAAATTTTTTCAAAAAATCAAGATATTTACTTGACTTGATAAGCTAATGTACCGAATGGATCATATGTAAGTGAAATTTCTTGATGAGCTTTTCCATGTGCATTATCAAAACGTAATTCAGGTAAATTACTCCATTTATTCATATATATATATATATATAAATCATAACTCCTACTTGACTAAAATAATTTATCCACATACAATTTAACTGTATTTGGATGTGATGAACCATTTTCACCAATAACACATAGGCCAGTTATTTTTACAGCACCATTAAATGGTATACTGAAAAGTAATTCTTGTTCATCATCACTTTCAACTACCTTTCAAAAAAAAAACACGTATTCATAGTATTTTATTTGAATAAATCAAATACAAAATATACTTTTGATCGATCAAGTCGTTCTTCCCATGCTCGAAATACATCTTTACCGGAACCATCATGTTTTTCATTATAACATTGTAAATTATATTTATCAATTTTTGTATATAAATTCCATTGACCAACATTTGTTTCATCAACATGTTGGCATGTATGTGAACATGAATGTTGCATATTTATCTGAATACAATAAAGAAAAATAATTCCTTTCTTTTTATGATATTTTTTATGGAACGATTTATTTTATATCATCAAGAAAAGAAATTACATAATGCACAGATGAACAAAACAACAACAACATTGTTTTATGTACGTCCTTTATGTTTTTTTTTGATGAAGTAACATACTACTTTCATCTCGTCGTCGTTTAGTCATTGAATTTCTTGGATCATAAACAGTTAATAATTCAGCATTTGTATAAATATCTTGAACATTATCTAATAATTCTTGAGATACAAAAGTATGTTTTAAAAATGGTGTTTGAACTTTATCAGCTATTTGTTCTGATTGTGTTACATTTAAAGGTTCACTAGTTTGTTCATCGTTAGCAGTATGAACTTTTACACGAAATCTTTCTAATAAATCAAGTGTCTAAAAAATTAAATTCGAATATTTTATTCGGTACAAAAATAACTGATGAACAAACTTGAGATTCTCTTGAATTTGAATGACTACTATGATGTTTTTTATTGTTTCATCTTGTACCTGCCATTAATTCATCCATTAATGTAGTAGTACTTGAGATAACTGGTTGAATAGATGAGGGTGCAGCTAAATTTGAAGTAAACTCATAAAATATGATTGTCAGTTAAAAATAGGATGAATATCCTCATGCATCCTTGAAATATGAAATAGATCTCGGTAAGACCGAAAAAAAGTTCAATACTTTCGAATGGATTTATCCGTTCAAACTGGAATTCTTAGGATATACTAAATATCATTAAACAATACTTACGTTCTGTTTCTACTTGAACGACATTTTCTGATGATTTGGGTGTGGTTGCTGATGATGACTTTTTTGTTTGTTTTAATTCTTTTTTTAATCGTTCAATTTCAAGTTTAACATTTTCATTTCTATCAAAAAAAAAGACAATACTAAATCAATCTAAATATTTTTGTTGTATTTTATATTTACGATTTTGTTGGTGAAATATCTTTTTGATTATCATCATCATCATCATCAATACCAAGTTGAAGTGTTTTTTTTTCTTTTCTTGCTGAGCTAATTTTTTTGCATTCAATTTTTGTCGTACTCGATCAAGTTCTTCTTTATCAAAATCTGCATCACTTTTTTCTTTTATTTTAAAATTTTGTTTTTCTATTGGTAATTCTTCATTATTTTCATTTAATTCAGCTGTATTTTTACTTAATGTTGAATCATTAGTTAAATCATGTGCACTTTTTCCCGTTCCTTTTTGTTTGAATGTCTATAAAACTATTAAATTAAGAAACGAAAAAACAAAAAAAGACAAATGAAATATATCTATACCATTGAAATTTTTGTTATTTCTTCTTCAGCTTCATTTCCAAATGAAAGAAGACCATAATTTCTAATTATAAAAAAAAACAAAGAATTTCAAATTCTTGTTTTAACTTCATAGAAAAATTCTACTTGATTGCTTTAGCTTGTACAGTTTCTTTCGATTTTTTATTTATTTCATCATTATCATCATCAATTATTTGTGATTTAGCTCGAAGTCGAGATACTATATTATCAAATGAATTTGATATAATCTATATAGATATAAAATATAATCTTTTAAAACTATAAATTTTTCTCTCATTTTTTTACTTCTGCTTTAATTATTTATGTTTATGTACTGGTATTTCACCAATAATTTCTCCTTCACCTAATTTCAACATATTAAATAATGTATTACCAACAACTTCGCCAAATAATGTATTCTTTTTATCAAGTTCTGGAGTACTACCCAAAGTAAAAAAGAATTGACTAGCATTAGTATTTGGTCCTTGATTAACCATACCAACAAGACCACGACGATTAAAACGTAAACGTGTATGAAATTCATCCTAAAGTTGTTTTTGGTTTTTTTTTTATATAGAAACAAAATAAAATTTAATTTAATTTATGATTTACTGCAAAGAATTCACCAGTTGCTGATTCACCTCCTTCACCTGTTCCAGTTGGATCACCACCTTGTGCAATAAAATTTGGTACAACTCGATGAAAAACTGTACCATCATAATAACCATCCATACATAATTGAACAAAATTTCGACATGTTAATGGACATTCTTTAGAGAAAAGTTCCTAAAAAAAAAAATAAAAACCATATTACTATTTCACATTTATTATATGGGGCACTACAAAAGTGTTTTTTTTTATTCGTCCGACTTTCCTAAATGTTGTGCATTGAGACCAATTGTTGAAATTCTAAACTTTCTAAAATACAAAATAAGAAGACTGAAGGGATTCGGTGTATAAAATCATATGAAATTATATGTCGATCGAACATCTAGAACTAAGACTTGATGAAAAAAAAACTTTTGTAGTGCCGTTTGTAAAAAAAAAAAAAAAGAAAGACACAAAATTCCGTACAATTTCAATATCACCAACAGTTGTATCTAAAACAACTTTGCCACGAGTAGCTGGCTCTTGAATGCAAATATTACTCATCTAAAATATCATAAATAAGTAGATATAAATATTGACTAAATGCGTTTATAAATAGAAAGAGATTCTCTTTTTTTTTAAAATTTAACGTCTATAGATGTATTAAATTAATACTATGTATCAGATTCTATTGAAATCCATTTGGATTATTCGATTACCAACGCCATAAATCTTCGCCTATAAAAGAAAAAAATATAATTTTAAATCTGTACGTAAAAATAAAAACTTATTTACACATTTCATCTAAATTTCGTTGAGCTGTCCATCCAAGTTCTTGAGCTGCTAATGTTGGATCAGCATAAACAAACAGTTGCAAGATCACCTGGACGTCGAGAACATTCTTTATAAGACATTGTTTTGCCTGATGCTTTTTCTAATGTTTTAATCATTTCTAATACAGAATAACCTTTACCAGTACCAAGATTATAAATCTAAATAAGAAAGAAAAAAAAAATTTAAATCATTATCTATTACTAACTTTTAAACCACAATTCATTTCAAATTATTTCATTGCTGCAATATGACCTATAGCTACATCAACAACATGTATATAATCTCGAACACCTATACAAATTCAATAATTTTTTAATGATAAGAAGATAAATTATATTTATTTGCTTATGTTTACCTGTACCATCTGAAGTATCATAATCAGTACCAAAAATATTAACATATGATAAACGACCAACACCTACGTGTGCAATGTATGGCATAAGATTATTTGGTTTACCAATAGGATCTTCACCAATTAAACCTGTTTTATGAGCACCAACAGGATTAAAATAACGTAAAAGAATGATATTCCATTCCTAAATAAATTAACAACAAAAAAAAATAGATTATTTTAATTTTAAAATACGAACAGGATGAGCAACTATTGTATCTTTAAGAATATGTTCACATATATATTTACTTTTACCATATGGATTAGTAATAGCATCACCAATACATGGATGTTTTTCATCAAGTGGTAAATATTTAGGTGTACCATAGACAGTAGCTGATGATGAAAAAAGAAAATTGTTAACATTAAATTCTTCCATACACTAAATAATATTCAAATAAATATATTTATTGAATAATTAGAAAACAATTACTGTAAGTAAATTAAGTAAACAACCAATATTATTTTTATAATATAAAATTGGTTTTTGTACTGATTCACCAACTGCTTTAAGTGCAGCACAACTAATTATTGCATAAATTAAATATTTTTTAAAAATATTTCGTAAATTTTCAATATCAAGACAATCAATTTTATAATTAATTATTTGACATCTAGTAATTTGTTCAACACGTTTTAAACATTCTAAAAAAGAAATTTTTTCTGAATAGAATCAAATTTTCTGTTTGATATTTTTTTTAATTTCACCTGCTGATGAATTATGTTCATTATCTACTACAATTGGTGCATAACCAGCTCTAATCAATTCCATAACACAATGACTACCAATAAAACCAGCACCACTAGGTACAAGCACGTATTGTTTCTTTTGGTCACCTTTATAGAAGCATATATTTTATAGGTTCTTCTTTGAATTTATCATTGGATTTACAAACAAGTTATTGAAAAGTAATTTAACAACATTGTTTAAGAGTTATGAACCGGCTTTGTCTAGGTCTGCAAATTGGTTCTCAAACTTTTTATTTTTATATAATTTTGTAAGGAACAACCTCACCTTCTGTTCTATACAAAAAATTGCTAATATAACGTATCTCGTAACTCTTAAACCAAAAGCCGAGTTCTCGGTTAGGGGAAGATCTGCTGCAGCAAAAGGATTGGTTCATTACTTCTCTGTAGATACAAAGTTTTTCAATAATTTACTATTTATAAATTCATTTACCAGTTGCTGCTGTCATTCTTTAACTTGTCAATTTACCAGAATAATCTAAAACCAATTATACAGATAACTATTTGATTATTGCAAATAATTCTTTATTTTATGTGCGAAGTATATGAATAGTTATTGAATTGCTTTATTTTTTTTTTTTTGAAGCTTAAGAAACATAAGAACAAAAAAAGGAATGCGGTGAACTCCGTTTATAAGCATAAGTAAAAAGAAAAATGCACAGACAAATAAATAAATACGATAAACACCAACAACAAAATGAATATCACTGGGACTTTCTTATTTCTCACCCAACAAATCAAACACAAAAACAAAAAAAAAAATACTACTTGATGTAGCAGCCGTTCTCACCTATTCAAAACAAAAAATGAAACCATGAATCTTTTCTTTTATAAAGAACCATATAAACGCAAGGAATTTGGAATGTCTATAAGAAAAAAAGAAGCCTCAAATGAAAGCACAGAGGAAAAAAAATGTGTTAAAATATTAATAGTCAAAAAACAATTACACTACGAAAAACAAAAACAAACAGAAAACATTTTTTATTAAACATTTGCAGTAGGCGTTCCAGAATCACGTCGAGGTTGATTAAGAACATTAAAATTAACATTAAATACAATCAAACAGCCTGTAGAAAGACCTGCCATGATATATCTAAATTAAACAAAGAAATATATATATTTGTTTTTACTTTTGATCATGAGTTATTGCTAATGAACGAATACTAGCATCACATTGTGGATAAGCATAAACAGGTTGTAAATCATGTGTTCGAATGATTTGTACAAAACCTCGATCACCACCAATAACTGTATATTGACTATCAATATTTAAAACCATACACTAGACAAAAATAAAACAAAAAAAAATAATGATTTTTGTCTTTTTTTTGTTTTGCTTTTACTTGAATAGTTTCATCTTCAAATATTGCTTGTCTCATTAATTTTCCATTTAATATATATAAACATAATTTTGAACGATCATAACAAACAATAATATCACCATCATTTGATAGTGATAATAGACGTGGTGTAGATATTTTTGATGGATTTTCAAATGAACGTAATATATCACCATTAAGTGTATGTTGAAGTACAAGACTTTGTTCACTACCACTTAAAACAATACCAAGTTCAGCTAATATCCATAAACATGTTATTTCTCTATCATGACCAGTTAAAATTTCTGCTGGTGATGGATTGATTTCTATATAAATACAAAAAAATCTATATATATATTTATTGTTCAGTGTCTGTGTGACGTCTCTGTGCCCAGGTCCAAGGTTAAAGGTTAAAAGTCAAATAGTTCTATAAGCGGAAGGCCTCAAGAGCTATTATATAGGGAAATCCATAGGTCCCCAAGGGCTATTATATGGTATATCTATAGGACATGAAGAGCTATAATATAGGAATAGCCATAGATTTTCCAGAGACTAAGGCAATAAGGAATACAAAGTTATAAGGCCGAAGGCTACATGGACTATAAAAATACGTGCGATATAAGAGTATGAGACCGTAGGGCTATCTATCTACATACATAATATCGAATGTTTGTATGTCTGTTCTTGACTGAAAAGTTAAACGTCTTAAGTTATACGTGAAAGAGAAAACAGCCGTGCAATATGCACCGGCTCTCGCTAGTTATAATATATTGATTTTGTTTTTAAATTTAATTATAACCTTGATTTGGATATTCACGATCAACTATTGCACCTATTGTACCATTCCATATCCAAATACAAACTGTACAATCACGTGAACCAGTTGCAAGAAAACAATTTCCAGCAATAGTTACTTCTGAACGACATACACATGTAACAATATCAAAATGACCATAGAGTACTTGAGTAATTTTCGCTATATCAGTATTTTGTACACGAAAACTTTTATCCTAATAACCAGTTGATATTATATAACAATTATCAGCAGTAACAACAAAACTTTGATGTCGTTGTTGAATACGTTCATCAAAATTATCATCCAAATGACGACGATTTAAATTTATATTTGATACTAAAAAAAAGATATTCTTATTGTTATTTTATTTTTGAATATTGAATAACTATTATTCAAATTAATATTTAAAAAAAAGTGTAACTATAATATTAATCTACCTAATATTGAATCCATGCTTAATGGTAATTGTGTTTGTTGATGTATTGATGTTTGTGATGATTCAGAATAAGTTTGTGTTGGTGTACTAGCATTTGGATGATATTTATTTATAGAAAAATCATGTTAATTACTAATTGTAATAATAGCTTGTATGGAAAGTGTTGGATTTGTATTAGCAGAAACATGAATAATAGGTGCATTTAATGAAAATTTCATTATCATTGATACATCTTCTGGTGTACTAAAATATTTAAATTATTTTTTCTTTCTTTGAGAAAACAAAAAAAACTACTTACACATTATACATCATTGGAGTCTAAAATAGACAGAAAAAGAATTATTAAAAAAAATAAAGTGTTTGTTTCGTCTTACTAAATTCATGGCTGAATTTCTTGGTGGATGTGGTTCAGTTAAAAGTTGTGCTGGTGCTTGACCAAAATTTCTTATTTGTGTTTCCATAGCAGCACGATCTGTTGGAGTTGTTATTGAATCAAGATTAACAGCACGAACAGCTTCAGATCCTAAAAAAAAACAAGAAATATCAAATATTTAAATAATATAAAAATTGTTATTAATCTTCTATAAATCAATCTCTTTATTTATATCCAAAAATTAAATCAATCCAATAATGTAAATGACATGAAACAAATTCAGATTCTAATACCTAATGATTACAATTTGTTAACATTTCACGTAGAGAAAAAAATTCAGAAATTAATTCTTTAACATCAGATGAATCACGTTGACAATTTTGCCATGATAATGGTATTGAATGAAATAATCGACTAGCATGAACAAATTTTCCTTCTTGTAAACTTAAATAAAATGTTGTGAATGGTTCCTTTAAAAAAATGAAGTAATATTATTGAATTTATTAAATAGAATTATATTCGAACTAACAAGTCGAATAAGCCAATCAAGTGTAAATGCACCTGTTGAATAATGTGTACCATAATGAAATGATGGCATTATATCCGATTCCCAATTATTATAACGTTCAATAAAAAAATGATTTTCTTATAGGATTTAATGTACCAACAGACTAAAAACAAGAAAAAATTAAGAATAAATGAAAAACAAAATAATCGAAATTATACTTTTGATAAATCTCAATAAGTTGATAGAGAATTTAAAACAAGTTTTTCACTTTCATAATCAGCTATAACCCATGGAACTATTGGATATTGATTTAAATCTTGATATGTTCGACCTAAATAAGAAACATTTGTTGTTTCTTTTTAAATAAATTTATATACAATCTTTGTTTGTTCAATTATACCTGCAATCGTATTATAAGATACATAAGATATTCAAAATTTGAAATTTCTCGTCTTTGCCACCGTTGTGTCATATTTGCTGAACGAAATAATTGTTTTGGTGATGCTAATGATGTTCGCCTAAATACAATTCAAAATAACATGAATAAGATAATTTACTAACCGTTATTGTGGTAAACCATAACGACCACCAACACCAACTCGAGGTAAAAAGCTTACAACTTTTTTTACAATTGAACGATCATTAAATGCAAACATAACACTTGCTAAAATACAAATTTGAAAAAGTATATTAATAAAGAAAAAAAAACCATAGATCGAAATAATAATTCAATCTTGCAGGTAAATATCTGTTAGATTATTTTTCTATTTGAAAACTTTATATAGAAAACAAATCTTAATACGAAGAGTATAGCAATAAGCGAAAGGTTTTTTTTGTTTTTTTGTAATAAAATTACATAGCGAAACAAAAAAATCTGATTTATTATATTTCTGATTACTAAATTGACATGCTTGAATAAATTTCGGGGTTCTAAACTAATGTTATAATTGAATCATTCAAAAACAAAAAACAAAAACTCAAAAAATTCTATTTATTATAGAATATTGAATATAAGAATGGATCAATTCTTGTTCGAATGAAAATGATGTTATTATTTATAAAATTTAATACCCTAAAGTATAACTTCATAAAAAAAAAAATAAGAAAACTTATCTATTTAATTTCATACTTCTATTCGAAACAAATATTTCTAATGCTTTATCTTGTAAAAGATATCTTCTTGAATATTATAGCTCGTATTTCATTAAAATGCCATTTTCCATGAATATTATCAATATAAGGAAACATCTAAATAAAACAAAACAAAAAAACATATGTGATATTCAATAATTTATTGATTTACTTTTTCAATAAATTTTTGTAAAACTTTCATCATATTCATCAGCATCAAATAACATCGCATTATGTGTCATAGCTAAAGTACCATGTGTAATAGTTGTACCATAAATTAATGGAACATTCAGTTGAAAAACATATTGGTCCTGAAAAATCTTGATCAAGATCTTTTTCATCATCATCTGATATTGTTTGATTAAAATTTTGTATTTTTTGTTGTTTTAATAAATTTTCTTCTTGTATAACAGATGTTATTATGTCATCATTAATACCATTAAATGATGATTTTTGTTTTGCTTCACTATGTATAGAACCATTTGGATTACGTATTAAACGTTGTCGTCGTCTTAAATCATCTTCTCATGGATCTAATTTCCAAAATAATCTTGAACTATTTAAATAAGCTGTTTTATCATTAATCATCCTAGCTAAAAAATTTTCTTGTAAACGTGATGCTATAACTTGATGTCGTTGACGTACTCCTGTTATAAAATGTTCATATAATTGTTCTTCAAATTTACGTTCAACTGTTGTTTGTGCTGATAATTGTTCAAATTCACTTGCTTTACATATATCATCAGCACGCATACGATTAAGTATAAAATCAGCTTCATTAGCTACTTTAACAACATGATCTTTACTTGTATGTGATAATAAACGTCCTTCATTAACTCATTCAATAAAAGCTAAACGAGAATGTTTCTAAAACCAAAAACAAAATGTATGAAAAAGTTTTTAGATAACAAGATAAATTCTTAGATTTGAATATTTATTATTTGAAGAGAATTTTGCCATTCTTGTGAACATAATAACATAACAAGTTCAACAATAGATGCTGTTTGTTTAAGTGCATGTAAACCACTTGGTAATAATTCTTGTCCATGTGAACCAACTAATGTTTTTGTAAGAATATGTGAATATTCTATAAATATATCACATAAAAATGGTGCAATATTTGATAATGCACGTTCTAATTTTTCAGTTATATTCATTGATAATGATTATTCATTTGAATTAAAATTTGCTTTTGGATATTCAGGAAGTTTTGATTCAAGTAATTGACTTTTATTTATTGTTGATGATTCACTAGTAGGAATACTAGCAATACTTGCTATATACAAAAAAATAATATTCTAGAGTGTGATAGTTCGTCTCTCTATATGTCATATCAATTATTATTATTCGACATACCGTATGAAATAGCAGTAGCACTTGTATTATTCATATCGATTGAATTGATTTTATTAATTTCATTATTATCATCAATAACTGCTGATTCACCATTATTCTTCTACAAGACAGAAGACAAAAAAGAAAAGATGAATTCACATTTTTTTTTAAATAAAATTCATACTTGATTATTTGTAATCGATGTCGAATCATTTATACTAGCTGTATCTACATTAATCTCACTAGTTGAACCTAATGATACGAAAAAAAAAACAAAGAAAAAGAATTTCTCACAAAGAATAACAATCTAATCATTTATACCATGTCGAATACTAGGTGTTGTACTTATAATTGATGCTTGTCTAGAAAGATTTGTTTCAATTATATCTCGATATCTTGATACCATAAGTACTGATACAAAATAAACAATAGGTAATGCTAAAAATTGTGATTGTTTTGTATCACCGCTAAAACAAAAACAAACATAAAATTTTCATTTCATTCAATAATAAATTTTTTTCTTAACATAAAAGAACAAACATATAAAGCAAAACAATAATAATATAAAGAAAAAGGATACTTGATTTACCACGACAACGACAACGTGTTTGTTCAGTTTACTTCGATCTGGTCTTACCACATCACGACAGATAATAGCACGTAAACGTTGAACATCAAGTTCTTGTAAAACTGATTTAGGATTTTTAATAAATGAATTAATTAATGTTGATATATCATCATTATCATTTATTATTCATTAAATAAGTTAATTCAAGTATACTTTCAAGTGGATCTTTATTTGATGTTTTTTGTGTCAATGTTGAATTTGATAATTTTGATGAATCAAATTTTTGAAAACGACATTTCATACAATGACATACAGCAGTTGTCATTGCTTAAAACAAAAAAAAAGGAAATATTCAAATATTTTTTGTTAAATAAAAACAAGAAAGAATTTCACATACATAAACGAAGACATTGTCGTAATATTTCACCATTTGGCATACTTTTTTCTTGTTCAAGTTCAGAAAAATTTCCCGTATTTGCAAGTATAAATAAATCTGATAAACTCATAACATGTTTTAAAATTTTTAATGCATCTTTAGGTGATAAACCTTCCGTATTTTCTAATAATTCAATTTCATGCTAAATAAGATAATACAAAAACAAATATCATATTAATACATACAGATGCTGATGTTGCACTTGCAAGTAAAAGGTAAAAGACCACCACATGCATTACATAAGACATCAGCCATTTAAGATATTATATGTATAATATTAGCACAAAATATTTGATTATCTGGTTTATTTATTGCGTCAGTTATTGATTTAGTTGAATCACTAGAACTAAAAAAAATATTGGATGATATTAAAAGCTTAAGACCTTCTCTCAAAAAAATGATCTCAGGTTAGTATTCTTTTTTTTAAACTCTTACTTTTTAAGAGAAAAAGCAGAGATCGAAAGTTTAATGGTTCAAAAATTGCATATGAGAGAGCAGATGATGGGCTATTCCTCCATGAATTTATCTCAATGTGGATGCTTCCAGTGAAAAGTGACTTTTTTTTCAGGCGAAGCCTTAAATTTCAAATACTTACGATCTCCATAAACGAATATCAACTTCGATTGAATCAAAAACACTATGTAATAGACGAATATGCATTGGAGAATATTTAAATTGAGATATTGTAAATGGTGGTAATTGATTTGTCTTAAATACTTGACGACTAGATGTTGATTCTAAAAAATAATAAATATCATTTTTTGTTTAAAATCTTTCTTCTCATATGAATAAGTTCGATTATTTGAATTCATGCATTTCCAATTAAAACTAGAGTTTTCTATATATTTTTCAAAGAACGATCATAATTAGAGATGTAAGTCGATGGGTCAAACATGGCGACGACGATTTTGACAACCAAAAATTAAAAAAAGTGATCGTCAGCTGTACGGCTTGCACACCTAACTGTAATTTATACATATGAATTGTATTCTTTAGAATAGATTATGCTTAATATTCTAATCGATTGATTAAATAATATAATAACCACTAAAGCAAAATTACAATTTAACTTACTTGTAGGTGTTGAAACATTTTGTTCATCGATTGGAATTTGTGAATCACTAAGTTTTCCTGGAGTAACTGGTGTTTTAGGCTACACATTTCATAATCGATTTCTTTATATATAGAAAAACAAAAAAAAACATGTACGTCATGTTCATCATCATCTTTCATACTTTCAACAATTTTATTAACTTTTCGATAGTAATCTTCTTTAGTTATCTAAAAAATAAAAATAAAAATAATAATATAAATAAATTTTTCAATTTACTCGTCCATATAATATTGAAAGTGTATCAATCCATATATGCCATCCACCATATTCATATTTAATAGCATGATGTAATAAAATTTTTAATAAATCAAATACTCAATCAGTTATTTCAAATTGTATTTCTTGTGCTGGATAAACATAAGCAAGACTAAATAAATAATCTTGCCAAACAGACATTTGTAAAATAGTTCTTAACAAATGAAAAATTAAAAAGAATAAATAAATATCTATTTATTTAATTGCCTTCGATTTTCTCGACTTGCTGATGCAAGTAAAATTAAATCATCAAGAAAACGTAATTTAATATCATATAAATGAATATTATCAGCTGCATTTCGAAGTAATGTTGCAATTACTTTGATCATAGTTAAAATAATTGACATAAATTTCAATTTAATTCTATCCTTTTTTTGTTTCTATATGTAAAAAAATGACCTGAATTTTCAATTTTCCAATCAGCTGTAATTTTTGAACTTCGTTTTTCAACAGCTAATCCACTTACTTTTTCCACAAGTATCTAATTAATAATTAAAATTAATATATATTTAAATTATTGATTGATATTATATCTTACTTCAAATAGAACATTATAAGTAGCCATTGTAAAACTATTTGGATGAAGTAAAAGTCGATCAGCCAATAATCAAAATAGATTATGTGGTTGCATAGCATCAGTTTTTCGTCTTTAAATATTAATAAATAAAAATTTTTCTTGAAAATGTAATGAATTATTGCAAAAAAGTTATTTACGAAAATGTTCTTAAAATTATGAACGAAGATTTTGCTTAAATTAATTTTTCTCTAATTCTCTTATAAACACTATTTTTACATACTTTACTGTACTTCGTTGAAGAAAAAATCCTAATAATTTCAATGCTTTTAAACGTGTTATTTCACTACTACTTGCTAATAATTTAAAAACCGTTCTACAAAGTACAAATAAAGAAAAAAATAAAAAAAAACAAATTTTTATTCTAATCTTACCTTAATCCTTGTCGACGATCAAATGCAGGTACCATTGTTCTTGGATGTTCAGACATAAGATTTACAGCCATATCTAATACATCGATAAGATTATTATCCTAAAAAAAAACACATTTTCTATATAGAAATCCGAACAAAAAAATGTTTTATCATTTTTTTTTACTTCATGAACTGTATGAAGATAATTAAGAATAGCTTGAAGTTCTTCTTCTTGACTACCAGAACTACTAATAACAAGTTGTTTCAAATGGAGTAACATATAACTTCTCATTTCAATAATTTGTTCACGTGTTGGTCGATTTCCATCTAAAATTGATGATTAAATTTAGTTTTATGTATAAAAAAGAAAAAGCAAATATTCATTTACCTAAACGTTTTGTCTTAAAACCACTTCGATGACGTGGATCAACAATCCAATAGAAATATTTTAATGTATGTAATGTTTGAATTATTTCACTTATTGGTTGTATTAAATGATAAATTTCTGAATAAGTAACAAATTCTGTTGCGAAATATGTATATAAACGCATTTGAACCTATGAAAAATAAATTTATTTTAACAATTTCAAATATTAATCAAATAAAAGAATATACATCAACTGAACAATAAATCCATATAGCAGGATTAAAAAATATATGAACAAATAATTGTTTTAATAATAATGGACTATTTTTGCTTTCAATTTTAACAAAAAATGTTGTTAATGATATAAGAGAATTGAGTACATCCATATTAATATGTTGTTTTGATGCCTACAAGTAAAAAATATAATAATTATGATGTTTATTCAGTTTACGAGGAAAGTACCCCAAGTGTTTAATTGGTTTTAACTTCGAACTCTACCCTAGTAATTTTAAGGTTTTTCATAGTTTACTAGGATACTTCTCTTGTTAATTTATTTCGAAAGTTATTCCACCTTATCTAAGGATACAATTATTCAAAAAGGCTATTCAGAGAAAAAAAGCTTACTTTTGTTGTATAATTATACCTCATGATAGGTAATACTTGAATATTCGATTCTTTTACAATGAATTCGTTTCATTGAAAATAATATTTGAATACATCATTCAAGAAAAAAAAACTTTTGTTTCGAAATATTCCAAGTAAATTACTGTAGTTTTTTTAATAAATATCATAGAAACAGATCTTAACGGGAATAGTTTTTTTCTGAATTCTTTTTAGATTTTGTTGTCCTTGAAGTTTTATGCGCATGCGTTTTATCTTCAATACAACTATCATCATTATTTATGTTTATCTTTTTTGTCATAAAATCAATATTTAGCACGATTCTTGTTCACATAATGTTCTTTTTGTATTAAATAAATTTAAACTCATACTTTTTCAAGATCATAACCAATAGCAAGAAAACCTTTTGAATTAAGCATTTGATCTTGTATTGTGTATGATCATTCAATTAATTCACATAATGTTGATATTAATATGGAACAAACATTATAATTAATTGACCCATCAATTTGTTGATGATCTAATTGTCCAAATAAAGGAAAAAAAATACTTGTATACCACCAACACTATGTAATGTTGAATAAATTGAATATGTTATTACAGATCGAACATTACTTAACATTTGTGCATGTGCTGTATGAATAAAATATGAAATATTTGTTTTAGGTGCAGCTTGTGAAACAAGTTGTTCTTCACATCTAATTGGATTATAATTAAATACAATTGAATTCATTAATTTACCATCATACATGGCTTTTCGTTGTAGATCAGATAGAATATGTGCACTTCCATTTTCAAATTTAAATTGATTTTTATATGCTGGTCCTAATTTATATAAACCTTGTACAATTAATGGTTCTAAACATATACTAAATAAATAAAATGTTGATAATTGACAAGGAAAACTTGTTAAATCATGACGATCAGGTGAACAACCAATAAAACATTTATCAAATAAATCATCACTTTCAATACTCCATGGAAAATATGCATTTGATACAATTGGATCATTTATATAACAATGTATACTACTTTTACCCCAACGTTGATATTCATGTGCAAATGTTATCATATACCACTAAAATAAATAAATATCAAACAGTATAAAATAATGATCAATTTCAAATTATATTTTTATTTCTCGTAGAGTTAAAAAATTTTAAATGATCAAAATCTTTTATTTAAGTTAATTATTGAAATAAATACCTCTCGTGGTTTAAATTCAAATTGTATACAATGTTGAAATGTTTTTTCTTTTAATTTTGAATATGATATTACTAAACAATTACTAACAAAATGTGCTGTATAACCATGACCTTTCGATGTACAAAACCAATATAAAAATGGTTTTTCTTTTTCAATCACACAATTAGCAACCGGATCAATACGAAACCATGTTGTTATTGTAAAACTATTTTGATATAGCCAAATATTAATTGGTGGTAAAACAATACCAGAACCATTTCGACCAGAAAAATTAAAAAATTCATCAGGTCCATGTCGATATGGAAGACTTTTAAATATATTTAATAATTTAACAGAATGTTTTTTCTAAAATTATAATTAGTTAAATAAATAAAAAAAATAATTCTTTTTTTTGTTGTTTTTCTTCATACCCATATTCGATTTTCTGTTTTAAGATAATGTAAAAGAAGTTTAAGTTCATTCACACTAACTGTTAATGATGTTGAAACTGTAATAATATGAACTAATAAATCAGCAACAACATCATTATCAATTTTATTTAATAATTCTAATGCTTCATCATATATTTGTGCATCAATTGATGCTAATAAATTACGTTCACTTTTACGCATTATACCAATTAATATACTAAGAATTTCAGCTTGTAATGATAATGACATTTTATCAAATATAGAAAATAATTCATGTAAATTTTTTGGTTTTTGTATTATATAATTTTTATCCAAATCCAAATCACCTTCGACAAGCTAAAAAACTAAGGGTGCGGGTGTGGGTGTGAGTGTGAGGTTTGGGTGTATAACAAAAGAACACCCACACCCACACCTACACCCACACCCACCCACACCGGCCACCCACACCCACACCCAAAGTTTAGCATATTCTAGCCAAAGTAGACTAATTCTTTTTAAAGTATAGAGGCATATTTCCGGTTAAATTCGTTCCAGATAAACTAAGATGTCTTACAACTTCAAGTTGTCCTAAACGTAAATAACGTTTTTCGAAACCCGTAAGAGGACAATTTCTTTTTATTGATTTCGAAAGCGATACTTCGAAATAGTTTCTGTCAACGTTGTTCTTATGAATATGGACTAGCAACAGTTCTTTATCAGCGGTAAATATATCAGTTCATTTGGTAAAAGCATGGTTGAGATATTCAAATATTCCTTGGGCTAATGATTTACTGGGTGTGAGTGTGGGGGTGGGGGTGTGCGTGTGGGTATGAATGAAGGGAATATTAACATCCGCATCCACACCCCACACCCACACTACACTACACCCACACCCACACCCACACCACGCCACACCACGCACCCACACCCACACACCCACGCCCACACTAAATCCACACCCACACTCCACACCCACACCCCACCCACACCCCACCCACAGCCACAGCCACACCCACATCCACACCCCACAATTCTGAATACATATACGATATAGATGATATATATATGAAAAACTAGAAAAGAAAAGAACCAATTAAAGAATCAAAGAGATGAAAGAGAATAGAGGTTAACAATAAATAGTGAATATGTATACAAGCGACATCACTTTAACACATATAAAATTAAGACTACTTGATATGCATTGACCACCATTTTGACAAGGATTATTCGGTGAACAAAAATCTAAAAAGAATAAAAATATTAATTGATTCCATTTCAACAAGCA